TTACTAGTAGTTTTCCATAATTCTCTTGTCTTTTATGTGTTTATTGTGTGTTAACGTTGTGATAATTGTCAGGTAATGTTTTCTCTTCTTTCTTCGGTTTAAAAGAAGTATTAAAACGGAACTTTGAATAACTGCATTGAATTGAATTTTAAACTAGAATAAAGATATATAATGCTTGGCATTCTGTATTATACTCTTCACAATTTAACAGACCCTCTTAACTCCCATTTTTAATCAGATTTTTTCAGAATCAATAGGCTTTATTCCTTTATAGAGCTTGATTTTTATTAAAAATTTCATGTTAATATTGCATCTGGTGTTTGATTTCTACATTTTTTATTTCAACCCCCAATTAACTCCCCATTTTTATTCAGAATCAGGCTTTTTTTTTATTTCACCCCTATTTATCCCCCTATTTTTATTCAGAATCAATAGGATTAATTTCCTTATAGAGCTTTGATTTTTAATAAAGATTTTATGTTGATATTGCTTTTTGTTTTTGATTTATGATTTTTATAATTTAATCCCCCCCCCACTCTCCCTTAAACACACACATTTTTATCAGATTTTTTCAAAATCAAAGTGCTTCCAGCTTGATTTTTTTGCTAAAAATGTCAAACTGATATTTTTCGTTTTTGAGTTTGGAATTTTTTGTTAATATTTTAACTCCCCTCCCCTTAACCCCAATTTATTCAGATTTTTTCAGAATCAGTAGGCTTCATCTTCTTATAAAGCTTCATTTTTACTAAAAAGTTCATGTTGATATTACTTTTCGCTTTTGATTTTTTTTAATGTGTCAACTTCCCTTAACCCCCCATTTTTATTCAGATTTTTTTCAATATCAATATACAAGGTACAACAACGGTAATTGCGGGCAAGTCTTAATCAAAAAAAAATTTTCATGGACAAAATCTCAGGGATCGTTAACGCTCACAAGGGACTTATGTGTCTCAGGCTCTCTAGGACATCTTAAAGACGTCTTATTTAAGGCTTCACAAAATCATTATAAGCTATTAATAAGTCGTATTAAAGACGTCTTATTTATGGCTTACTTTAAGCTTTACAGGCCATTTTAAATCATTAATAAGACGTCTTAAAGACGTACCCTTTTGTAACATCAGACGTCTTTCAGGAAATACCAGATATGTCTTATGCAAGACGTATTTAAGAAGACTTTGTGCTATCTGGATACGGTGGTCGTTAGGCCTCTCCAGTAGGTAGTTTTCGGAGTCTTCGGAACCCTACATAAGTCCTGAAACACTTTAATGTGTAAAGTTGTGTACGTAAGGGCTTTGTTCAATATTCAAAGGTAATATTGCAGAAGAAACTTATCGGAATCCCAGGAAAACAGACTGGGAGGCATACAATGCTTCCCTGGAATGTAATCTTCCGAAGATGAGAAAGACGATAAGAACAACAACTGACCTATAAATGGCTATGGATGAGTTTAATGACACAGTCACTAGCGCTTTCAACGATACCTGTCCCTTAATAGCAAGAAACTCTATCAGGAAAGTTCCATGGTGGAATGATGACCTTGCTATACTAAGGAAACAAGTGAGACAAAAAGTTTTAATAAGGCTAAAATAACCGGCGAATAGGAACTATATAGAACCATACGCACCTGTTGCAACATAGCCTTACGAAAAGTCAAGAGAGTCTTGGAGAAGGCACTGTGAGGCCACAGCAGGCACTCAAGAATGTGTCAGGCTCCAAAAAATTATCTCAAGACACACAACACACACCCTTAAAAATGAACTGGGGGAGTACACAATGACAGGGAAGGAAACAGTAAGAGAATTCTGCAGGGTTCACTTCCCTGGTGCACAAACCATTGCACACACACCGGCTAATCGGATTCTAAACTGACTGGAAGCTCATAATAGAGCCAACAGGGAAGATTGGAACAAGTGGTGAACTATAGTAAACTGAAATGGGCAATTAGCTCATTCGAACCATATAAATCACCGGGCATGGACGGTTTATCCAATAATGTTACAAAGAGATCCTGATATTTTATACAGCAGACTCAGTAACATACTCAGAAGTAGCCTGGCCTTTGGACACATACCAAAAGCTTGGAGAAATATTAGGGTAACTTTTATACCAAAACCTGGGAAAATAGGACAGGAAATGGCAAAGTCCCTAAGACCAATAAGTCTTAAGTCCTTTGTACTTAAGACTTTGGAAAAACTGCTAGATAGGCATATTAGAGACGATATATTGGTTCAGAGGCCAATATACCAAGACCAAAACCAATACCAAGACCAATATAGTGCAGGGAAATCAACTGAAACAGCTCTCCATCAATTAATAAAAGGGGTGGAGAAACACACTGGAAAACAAGGAGGTAATGCTGGGAGCATTCTTGGATATCGATGTACATTTGACAATACCTCCGTTGAATCGATCATTAGATTTCTCAAACACAGAGGAATCGAGGACACGTGCGTGTCCTGGATCGACTCTATGTTAAGGGAGAGAACTATACACACAACCCTTATGGGAGAGACAATAGCGGCACCGGTAGCGAGAGGATGTCCGCAGGGTGGAGTGCTGTCTCCACTCCTGTGGAACCTTGTAGTGGACGGGCTGCTTATGGCTCTCAAAGATAAGGGACATAGAATCCTGGGATATGCCGATGATCTAGTGATTATGGCACAGGAAAAATACAGCACTAGAGTAAGAGATCGAATGCAAGGGGCTCTAAATATAGTAACAAAATGGACAGAGGCGGAAGGACTAAACATTAGCCCAAACAAATCTGATATAATTGCATTCACCGCAGGAGGAAATTGGAGGGACTCGTTAATGATGGCAAGGCGATCCTTTGGAAAAAAATGAGGGTTAAAACCAGACATGGTATTGGCTTTATAACATGGTGGTAAGACCGATAATAACATACGCAGCTTTGGTGTGGTGGCCAAAGACACAGCAAAGAAAAGCAATAACGAGACTAAGCAAGGTACAAAGACTTGCCTGCCTCGGAATAACGGCGGAAATGAAAACAACCCCCACAGCTGCAATGGAAGCACTAATAGGACTCCACTATGTGATACAAGGGGAGGCAAGATTAGGTGCTTACAGATTAGAGAATACACTGGGAAATCTTGACATTAGACCAGGTCACATGACTATCTCAAGGTTAGTGACAGGAGACGTGCTAGACATGAGAGTAGACCACATAACCATAACTCTCTTAATACTCCATTTGAGGTTTTAATACAGGAAAGAGCGGAGATCATCATAAGGGAGTCCAATGCCCAACGACAGGAACAAACCTGGTACACAGACGGGTCTAAGACTGCGGAAGGCACTGGGGCGGAAGTATTCTCCAAAAACCCTGATACTAACCATAGCTATGTTATAGGAATACATTCCTCGGTATTTCAGGCCGAGGTATACGCAATTTTGCAATGTGCAAAAATGAACAATGAAAGAGCTGTCGAAAATCAGCATATTCAAATAATGTCAGACAGCCAAGCGGCACTTAAGGCCATATCGAGTCAGAAAGTTACGTCGAGGCTGGTATGGGAATCCATCGAAGAACTAAGAACACTGGCAGACCGAAATAGAGTAAAACTATTTTGGGTGCCAGGTCACAAAGGGATCGAAGGCAACGAAAAGGCTGATGAACTTGCAAAAAGAGGGTCAGAAGAAACACCGGAACCAGACACAAACCCAGGAGTACCAAAAAGTACAGTCCGGGGTTTTATAAATGACTGGATTCGGGAACAACATATCAACTATTGGGGAAGCACCCCAAAACAGGCACATGGAAAAGCCTTCATAGGCAGACCATGTCCCAAAAGAACTGGAGAACTACTTTTTATGAATAGGAACCAGTTGAAAATGATAACAGGGTTCATGACTGGGCACGTCCCAGTAAAGGGACACTTGAACAAAATTGGCATGTACAATGGGGAACTCATGTGCCAACTATGTCACAAGAAACAGAAACGACCACATACTGTGCGACTGCGAAGCTCTAGATCGCAGAAGACAGGCACTTTTTGGACAACCCCAGGTTGATCCAACAACGAATAGAACCCACTCACCCAAGGAGCTGTACAAACTTGTACAAGGTACAAAGGTGACAGAGTGGGTGCTATGAACTAACATGGGGTAAAACACAATAAGCCAATAGGCTTTAGTGTTATTCGGAGACATAGTCAGACGAGCCCAGGAGAAAAAAAGGGTTTTGTTTCTTTCTGTTAATTCATTGATTTCCACCGAAATGCCAATTTTCCATTTTTCTATAGTTCTATAGATTTTATATTTATGTTATATTTACCAATATTCATAGTTATTCCTTAACCATAAATTGATTATCTATTTTGTAATTATTTTAAATATGTATATTATGTTACTGTTTATTCATTTTCATTATTATTCTCTCCCCCCCCCCCCTTTCCAAAAGCAGTTATAAAATATTCCGAGCATTTGTGAAGCCTCGGCATTTTTACCCCTATAACTAGTTGCCAAAGCCGCTCGACTATGCTATTAAGGGATAATTTTATTTCTTTTTAATTTCATTTTATTTTTTGCCACTGGTGAATGGATGTACCTTCGAGACTCCAGAACCCTTTGGCTGGCGACAATACTGCCTTCGTCCCTTAACAGTATTATAATAATTTCAGAAATTTAAACACGCCACTTTTCAGATGTAGGTCATTTAAAAGGTGTTGTAGCGAATTTCGCTAATCATAAGATTTTTTTTACTGTAAATTTTTGCAATAAATTGTAAAATTGACATTTTTTAATATAGAATGTTAATTACCTTTCGACTGAGCCCCTCCTAACAATTTAGAAATTTGGGGGTTGCAACTGTCGCTTTAAGGGGATTAAATCTACGTATAAAATTTTAATTTTCCAGGGAGAACCTAATATTAACGTGTCTTGGAATTTTAATAAATATACAGAATACATATTAATAATAAAGAAAATTTTTAATAAAACTTAACAATATACTTTAATACTGCAATTTAATATGATACTTCTCAGTTCTTGTATCAAATATCTATCGATGTCAATTTTTTCAATGAAGGTGATCATCAATATCCAAATCAGGCATAGATAGCATCGGATCTTTCGGCTGCATTTTGTTATCCAAATTTGTTTCACCTACTGCCGTGTTAATCAAACTTTCTACTAGTCTATCATTGCTTTCGCTACCATAATTTTCGGGGTTATTTAGCAATTTATCGATTTCAATAGTTATCTCATGATTTATTTCGTCGGTATCGAAATTCATATTTTCGATGGTTTGTTTTAGATCCATAACAGAGTCGTCCATTTGTTTAGAAAAGTTTGGTTCTATTCTACGATTGATTTTCTTCAAATTAAGCGTTTTGTAATCAATTTGTTCTTCAGGATGCAAAGTTTCTAGATGTTTCTTGAGGGATTTACTTAACTTAAACTTTTTATCACATTTCGGACAAGAATATTGTTTGTCGATATTTGAAAGGAACGATTGGATCCCCCTGTTCATTTCATGATTAATTTTTATATGCCTAGTCAAATTATGACGTTGTTTGAACGTGGATGAGCATTGAGAACAGTTAAAAGAGTGTTCCTTATGTAATTTCATATGAACTTTTAACAATTTTTTCGATTTTATCGCTTTGTTGCAAATTGGACAAATTTCCTAAAAAAAAAAAAATACTTATGCAAGGGTTTTTATTAATAGTCAGATAGACAGACACAGTTAGATAGATAGACATGCACAGTAGCATTGCCAAAAAGGCCTAAGCTTACATATCTGCTATTATTGGTCCAATTCAAACGGGACAAACGGTCATTTAGCTATCACAGATCATGAAAAAGCATGCGTAGTATCATTGCCAAAAACACCTATGCATTAGAGGTGGGAAGTTCGAATCTTTTTACTGAATTAATTCATTTGATTCATTCACCTAAAAAGATTCGTTCTTCAAGATTCGTTCTCAAGTGATTCACTTTAGCGAACCACGAACGATGTTATTCCGCCGATCCGGCGAAGGAAATCGAACCGAACATTTACGAATTTGAGTACTACCTAACCTACCTACCTACTACGTTGTCGAGTAAAATAATTATAACCAAATTTATTTTAAAGTAAAGCGAATTAATGTTTCATATTTCATAAAAAAAAGGCAGCTGAATAATAAATACATCATTGTCCGTTAAGATAAACAACAATAACACAATTTTTTTTTAATGCCAAATATATAGCCAAAATTAACGCAAAATTATACATTCACGATTCGTCATTTTTTGTTTTAATTTTACTTTGATTTAAATTAATTTATCAGACAACACGCATAAATTGTTTACCTAAGCTTAATACACACCTCCTGTAAAGTGAGAAAAACATTAAAGACACATACCGCCACCGCCTGTCAGAGTTCTCGTATTATACCGTAGAACGTAGAATAAAAGCGACCAATATGCCGATGCCGATGTAAAATACCAAATCTTCGAATCCGAATCGAATGAACGAAGCAACCAAACTCGGAACTCGGCATGTTTGATCGATCGCAGAGCCATCGAGCAATTGACTCAAAAAAGATTCGAATCTTTTAAAAACAGGGAATCAATTCATTCGAGTCAGTGCACCGATTCGTTCTTTTTGAACGAATCGTTCGCGAACGACACACCTCTACTATGCATATATCTCGAGCCTATCAAAAGTGATTAAGCAAGTCAATCGTTTGCAAAAGAACAAGAAAAATTAAAAAGTAGGTGATACACTAGAACAGAGGTTCCCAAACTCTTTTGTTTCATAGACCACTACCAATTTCTAAATCTCGAAAAAAAAAGTGAAGATTAGATCCAGAGGGGGGAAACTGGTATGCGCAGGTCTGGGATAGAGCAAAAATCAACCACGTCCGCGTGGCGCTGCAGTCGGGTGGTGGGGTAGGTGGAGGGAGTACTGGGAGTAGTGGGAGTGTAAAGGACAGAGGACAGGTGAATATTGATTTTTGTGGGGGGTGTCATGGCGTCTTGGCTTAAACCAAACGTGAACTTTGTTTATTTATATTGGTGACTGTTGTATTCAGTTGTTTTCATTTCCAATTTGCTTAATTGATTTAGTTGACCACTGTTAATAAGCTTGTTTTTCCATTATAAATGTGTGCTTTTTCCGCTGTTATTTTGTGCTTTTTCATAAAGAAGCTTAATTATAGAAAATGTTGTGTACCGAATTGCCTTGATGTGGACAACAAGATGCATCGCCTGCCCCACCCTATGAATTCACCTGATTTATTTGATATTTGTGCACTTGCTGTTCGTTGTCCAAGATTTAATAATGAAACAAGACTACAAATTTATTCCACCTTTGTAGTATGTCATAAACATTTTGAAGAGAAGTATAAAGTAGTTGGCTCTCGTCGAGGTCTAACACCTGAAGCATTCCAACGCTATTCCTACCAGTAGTTCCTGGAAGAGTAGCGGATGGACTTTCCTCAAATAACGTAGAAATTGAATATGTTGAGGTGAACACCTACTTCAAGTAAAGGTTCGAAGAAGAAGCAGACTAATAATATATGTTGGACTTCTTTTCGAGAAGGAAAGTTAGTAATCTACTCATTTATTTTATACTTATACTGTGTATTTTCTGTTTCATGACATTTGGGGTTGCAAAGCTGTATCGTAGAAGAAGAAGCAGACTAATAATATATGTTGGACTTCTTTTCGAGAAGGAAAGTTAGTACTCTACTCATTTATTTTATACTTATTGCTGTGTTTGAGAATCCACATCAGATGCATTTTTTACATCTCAAGTGTTTTTTTTATCCACATACCTATATATAAATCGTTTATTTAGTCAAAAAAACTATTTTTTACATGTCAATACATCTTCACGTTTAAAATATAAAAAATACATAAATATAGAATCAACATACATTTAAAATGCAATAAACAATACATAAGATTACAGTACACTTACATGTCAACTATACAAAACATAATAAAAGAACAAGAAAGAGAAAAAAAACGTCAATAGGTCAACAGGTATTCACGCAGTTTTATTTTAAATATTGCCATGTTTGAAGAACATTTAATATCCTGAGGCAAATTATTAAAAGCCTGTACACCTTTAAAAAACACTGAATTTTGTGTACATTTTTTCGTGGCCTTATAAACTCTAAACATTTTCTTATTACCTGCTTATGTTCATGAACATCCTGATTGACTTAAAATATTTTGTAAATATACTCGGGAGATTCCTGATTTAATTTTAAATATTAAAAGCAGGGAATAGAATAGCAAATATTTTTTAACAGGCAACCACTGAGCACATTCAACATGGAATTGATTGGTTCCAATCTCGAACAGTTCAGTATTATCCTCAGACCTCTATTCTGCAACTTTTGCAATCGTTGCAACTCATTCTGGTTGAGCAAATACAGTATAATGGCACAATAATTAAAATGAGGTAATATTAAGAGTATTATAAATTATTATTTTAGCCCATTTGCCGAGATGTGGAGAACAGCGCCTCAAATAGTTTATTTTAAATCTGACACATCTGTCCCATTACATTTACGTAAACTGAATCACGTGATCAAAGATTTACTACATATCAGTTGCATCCGATGTGGATTCTCAAACGCGGCATATACTGTGTATTTTCTGTTTCATGACATTCAGGGTTGCAAAGCTGTATCGTAGATATTGGACTTATTAAAAAATAAAGTATTCTTCGGACTTATAATTTTTTATTAATACATTTATTTTAATGAGATTGTACTTATACTGTCTTTCTTTTTTCACAGATAAAGTTCTTCACAAAATAACAGTGTTGTATCCTGGAATATCTAGCTGCCATCCAGCTACTTCATACATAATACAATTTTCATATACATTACATTTTTTAAATATTGGATTTGTATTATATATATTCTTTAATAAATTTATTTTTTAAATATGTTTGTTTTTTTATCTAAAAACTGTTAGCATAGCTATAATAAAGCAAAAATGCAATTTGTGTGAACAAATCTTAATTTGGCTAACAGTTTTTAATGCGGATAATTTTTACTGTCAAATTTGAATAGCCCCGCGCTTTTCTTCTCTTCTTCTTTTTATTATTTTCTCTTCTTTCATATGGCCTCTTACCAGACTAGGACTTAATTGAAAAAAAAATCAACCACGTCCACCAGGTGCCGCTAAAAATTCTATCATCCTTTTTTAACATGGGAGATACCGTTCTAAAAGTAAGTGTTCTGTGGAAGCAACAAGCAACCAAACTCGGAATGTTTGATCGATCGCAGAGCCATCGAGCAATTGACTCAAAAAAGATTCGAATCTTTTAAAAACAGGGAATCAATTCATTCGAGTCAGGGCACTGATTCGTTCTTTTTGAACGAATCGTTCGCGAACGACACACCTCTACTATGCATATATCTCGAGCCTATAAAGAACAAGAAAAATAAAAAAGTAGGTGATACACTAGAACAGAGGTTCCCAAACGCTTTTGTTTCATAGACCACTACCAATTTCTAAATCTCGAAAAAAAAAAGTGAAGATTAGATATATCTATGGAAACTTGCGTTGTGGCCATAGATTACTTGAATAGATGGGAAACTCAATGGTAAAATTATGAGTCGATGTGCTGCCATCTATCAAATTGGAGTGGTACTAAAATTCAATATGGCCGCCACGAGCGGGCTTTTTGAAATTTAACTTTGTAGTAGCCCAAAAATGTAATAAAGCAAAAAAATTGGAAAAATATTTGACTAGTTTTAAATCATAAAACAACCATATTGACTGTTTCGTGATTTGAAACTAGTCAAATATTTTGCCAAGTTTTATCTTTATTTGATTTTACTTCATTATATTTTTGCATTAATTTCAAACTTGAAATAAAATGCAATTTATTTTATTTTATTTATTACAGTAAATTAACGCCGCATCATATAATTTGTCTATTTAAATATGGAAATACTCAAACAAATATGCATTTACACCATTTAAATAATTAAATATTTATAAAACAAACCTATCAAAAATGTTTTCTGTAACAAAATCAGCATATATAAGTGCTCAAGACCTTTATAAAAGTTTTGCGACTTGGAGTGGCAAATAAGTTTGAAAAAATTGAGGTTGAAGCATATATCATCCTTTTTTACTATCGAAACAAATTTGAGTGTGGATAAAATTTGCCATACGGTGATTGAGTTGACTAGTTAGGTTGAGGAGCATTTCTTCATCCGATAATTGTTTTCTTGATTCATTTATACAGCACTTGTAGTTATCAAATTTTTATTCATCATGTGGGCAGGGTGATAAATAAATTTAACTTTTGAGCATAAATTAAACTTACACACGTTTGGAACCTTGAAGATTTTAGGGTGTTTTCTTGTTTGATGTCAATGGCATTGAATCAATTTTTGATATTGATGACTGAGGCTCAAATATTTCATCGATCGACAGGGTATTTTGGAGGGCCAACATTTTCTTTACAAAAATGATCATTTAAAAACTGAAAACAAAAAGAAATTTAAATAACAAACCAATTATTTTAACACTGAATCAAATACAAGTTTGTAAATATTACTTACCGTTGGTACAGTGATGGTGCATTTTTCTTAAGACACTTATTACAATTTGGGGGACGCATATTTAATGTGGTATAAATTGCATTACTACCAATATCTGGGAGTG